GGGGGGCAAATGTTAAAACTGACCGAACTAGGATAAATTATAGTATTTTGCCTTAACATTCGCGGCTGACACATGGGTGACGCCCCTACTATTAATAATAGGTCCGGGTCTGATCGTGGAGATTTAACTTTAGAAGGTAGAACACCGTTGCTGTTGGTTCTCGGTAAGCAGTGCAACTTGTTAAAAATTTCTTACTAAACCTGACATTGTCTGTGTGGAAAAGCAGCACACATGAGCCTAATATATTTGATACTAGCTTCTTCAACAAGTAAATGAGTTGACAGCCGACGCCATGAACAAAACACCGATACTTGAAGAAGGGTTTACAACATTGAAAACCTGGTCTTTCTTTGCTTATTTGCCGCATCAGGAAATGCCAGCAAGAACATCGCCGAGCAAAAGATCTTCTAAGGACGCCATGACTTTGTTCAATGTGCCAGCGCTGTCTTCTTGCAGTGCTCCGTGAAACTCACCAATTTCCAACCTACGGAATTGTGTACTTTTAAAATGCATTGGAACTCGGCGGATACAGATTTCAATCTGCGTTCCAAGCACTGCCGTGTCCGTCAACGGTAGTAGTCTACACCAGCCAGTCTCATCCAGTTGCATGCCGTTGAAAACACCGGCTCCTTCCGTGACGAGCTTCCATGTGTAAATAATACAGCCCTCTTCTTCAAATCGACGCGCTATAAACCTTTGCACCAGTGGAGCAGTTTCACCGGATTTCAGCGCTTTCTCCTCGACAAACCTTGCTGCGATCGTGTTCTCTGGATCCACAACGTCGTAGCTCCGCTGATAATTTGGTTTGCTGGAATGTTGCGCTTCTCCTAATTTCCACAATGAATGGCCAGTTTGGCGGAGGGTATATGGCTGCACCATCTTGTCCAACTGTTGGAAATACTCCACTTGGCCGTCACAGTCTCTTGTACGAACCGAGTGAACTGTAACTTCAGTATCGGGAAGTTCTGACAAGCCACTGTTTCTAAACACCTCCTCGGTTCTTGTGTAGTTATCCTCCAGCTCTCGAATATACGCGCTAATCAGCGCTGGTTCAGGAGACTTGAGACATAGCTTTTTACGAGGCATGTCTTGATCAGCACAAAGCCTGCGTAAGGTGTCGTGAAGATAGTCGATATACGAGGACTGCAAACTGATGGTGGCATATAGCTGCTGTTGGTCTGCTTCGGCCTCCAGACGTTGCTCTTTCTGCTTCCCAGCGATTGATTCCCAGTGCCAATACGCTGGTGTCCTGCTCGACGTGAACTCGGACAACTGCTTCGCTTTGAGTTCTCGGAGATCAGCTAGTGCCTTTGTCAACTCCTTTTCCTGTAACTCTAAACGTTTTCGAGTATTCTTTTGGCGTTCTCGGTAGACGCGGTGCTTTTCCAGTTCACTCAGGTCTTGATTCATGGGCAAATTCTTCCGTTTGGCTTTGCTGCGACTTCCACCGTCTGGAGCCATACAGGTTAATAAGCCGTCCATCGATGGCACATTCGCGTCGATTAGAATGTCCATTCCGTCCAGGTTGTCCAGTTCAAAGTCGACGCTGTCGATAACTTGGAATGATGTCGCTGCTCCTGTAGTTGCCATACTCGTGGCAATTTAGAAAGTGAGTGAAACTCACTCACAGGCTGAGCTGCTATTCAGACCACGTAAGTTGTGACACACCAGCCAGGTTTACATGCGTTTCCAAAGTGATCAGAGATTGCGTGATGAGGTAGAAACGTTTCTAAGATGGTACATTTTGATACAGGTACAGATTTCCCCGGCAAATCCACAAAGGTGGGACCAAGAAATCGTCCGAGTTTACAAAGTTTACACAGGAAATCTGATCCAGGAAAATGTATTGATTTATTAGAAGTTTTAGCAAGAATATGACGCTCTCGCCATTTTGCATACCTCGATCTTCTGCCCAATTGTGAGGCGGACGTACGTGCTCTTGGCCTCTTGTCTGTTCTTGGGTTGCGAGGGCATGGGGAAATTAGTAAATGGCGGCACCTTAGTACGTGCAGGTAGGCACTGCAATACATTATGTTCATCCTGAGCCTTTCATTTGCTCCTGTAATGCAGCAACTTGCACATGCATGGCATTTCCTGCGAGATGACCAATTCCCGCCAAATTTAAATTAATTCAGTACGCGTCCTGTCTAGTGCTGCCCATCTCTCTTCGCGTCTGACCACTGACTGCACCAGGAATATCAACGACTGCAGTTGTGGATTTGCCGGGGAATTCTGTATACCAAAACTGCAACACTGCATGGAGTAATCTTGCCCCTCCATACGCTGTAGAGTCAATATTATCGCAATGAGTGAGTCTGGTTGCAAGCTTCTTGCAACTCATCCGACACAGTCGGGTTCTCGATTTCATAAACTGGCATGGCCGATGCTTTAGAAACATGCATTTATGTTATAAGTACTCAAAAAAACCTTGCGAACATATCCATGAAGTCGAAAGCACCATGAATTTCAATCGCTTGTTAGCATCCTTGGTCTGAGGAAATACTATTATGGATACCACATTAAGCTTACTACAAGTTTTGTCGTTGTAGTTGTCGTGTACTCGATAGAGATCAGTCTCATCAGCGATGGCTGACACAAAGAATGAAGAATTAAGATAATATGCCATTAGGGTAGTTTCACACACCTCCGATAAAATCTTGCTTCATTCTATTTTTCTGCAGAGTGTACAAGATAAACCGATGCTATCACTGGTGAACACAGAACGATTATAAGTATATGAATAGGCCCGTGAGTGGAATTTTCCAGAAAACGATTAGCTACTCCGTCTCCAAACCAGCAAAAACTCAAGTCTTTAGTTGTGTTGCAAGCTGCAATAAGTTCCAGTTATACAATAATTCGACTCCCGCCTTAACTCGAGTCAGCACTCGATCCCAGTCAAAACATCGTTGAGTAACAAACTCTCCAATTTCTTCGACATCTCGTTCTTATCCGCTTCAAGTGATTCATGAAGCATGTTGTGGAACATTGCCACTGCTGGTTCATGGGTGGAAGCTAAGTTGAAGCGCATAGGCACTTGTTGTACACAAACTTCCAGCACCACACCAGCCGCAGTTGGTCGAACACTCATCCACGCCGTTTCCTCTGCATGGAGTCCGCTGAAATCTCCTTCGCCCTCAGTGGACATTTTCCAGACGAAAACCAGCCGATTCTCCTCCATGTAGTAGCGCGAGATGAAGCGCTGTACCAGTGTACCAACGTTGAGCGACGTAAGGACGCGCGATTTGATAAAAACATCGTCGTCAGGTGCAGTCTCATAGCCGCCAAACGCTGGCTCCTCTTGCTCGTGTATCGTCGCCCAGATAGCCTCACATATCTTCTGGAAACTATAGGGCAACAACACCTTGTTGACGTGCTGGAAATATGCCACTTCGCCATCGGCTTCGCGTCTGTGGGTCGTGTTTACTGTCGTCTCCGGCATCGTCATCAAGCCACACGCGTTGAGAACGCTGTCGACACGGGCGTAAGAGCCTTCAAGTTGCTGCAAGTAGGTCGTGTACAGCGCACTCGTCATCGAGTGTAGTGTTGGGACGTTTTTAAAGCAGTTGAAGCTGTTGTCCGTGCCGAAGGGAACAGCGTTGCCGTTCAATCTATTGCCGACGACCTGTCGAAGGCCTTCGATGTAGGACGCTTGGTAGTTCACAGCGGCGACCAAACGCTTATGTTCGGCTTCAGAGAGCGCGCGTTGCTCTTGTTGTCGAACTATTTCTGAGACCCATTGCGAGTTTGTGAGGACGTCGGTGGATATTTCCAGCTCCCTCCTCATCGCAGCCTGTTTGTTCAAGCGTTGTAGCTCCTTGGACAGCTCGTCAACTTGTCGCTGTAGCACGTCTCGACTGTCTCGGAGACGCTGACGATACCGGCGCTGTCGGGTCTTCTCCCTCTCTCGCTTGCGGCTTTGTTTGTCGTGTTTGGTGTTGTCATCGTTGTCAGTGGATGGGCTTGCAGGGTCTGTAGTTTCGTTGAATAGAGCCGCCGTGAGGCCGTCGGTATCTCCAATTGACAGCCTCGGCGTGAGGGAGCCGTTGAAATCGAGAAGACCGACGATGTCGTCGAACAAGACCTCATCCGTCGTTATCAACTCAGTCATTCTGAGCGTGGCTTGAGCAATTGTGTGAGTTGTGAGTGAGGCGATCGAGGCCTGAGTTGACCTGACGATGCCGGTCTGGTCTATGCTAGGCAAAGCCCACTTGAGTCTCCCCAAAGCCTATCCTCGAGAAAGCAGGTGGTTCACTGCCTTCATCATGAAGTGTCTGCCACACTCTATAGAGCTCCAGGACATGAAAATCTTCATGACCTGGTTGTCTTATCGCCGGCTGTCCCAAGTTGGGACTTCGAACAGCCTGTTGAACAGGATCCTTTACATGAGCATATGACGGCGTAATCTTCTCCGTATCGATTTCCACGACAGGACCACTTGTTCGTCTGCAAAGTTATCGGTGAGAACTGTCGGCTCACGTGGACACGAACTTGTAAGGCACGCAACCCGCATCAGGTCAGTGACCTGAGGTCACAGATGCATACAATACAGTAGCGTCAGCACTTCGTTCGATATTGCCAAGGGTGTAGAAGTCCCTGGCCTCTCTCACTCATATTACGACTCCAACGTCAGTCACCCCTGGTATCGGGGTTACTCATCAAGACTGAGACCATTGACTAATTCTTATAAAGCACGTAACACGTTGTGTAACTCTAAGAAATCTCAGTGTCAACGACACGTATTAAAACTAATCAGCTTTCTACCTTCAGTTGGCGTAAGCTTAAGCGCTCTGTGGCCTTGTTGAGCCCCAAGAAGTTGCGATCGTCAACGGTGGAGAGCGACGCCATTCCACCAAAAACTTGCTCTTCGTTGTCTTGCCCAAAGTCTAGTACCATTTCTATAAACTCAGCTACTCTTGAGCCACACGATTGGAACGAGCTCAAACACACAGGCATTTGATTCACGTACATCTCCATCACGATACCAGTGTTGCTCGGGCGAAGTCGAATCCATCCGGATTCGCTTGAATTCATTCCCTTGAGCGCGAATTCACCCTCGACAAATGCTCTCCACACAATCACTACGTCACCTTCTAAAACATAGCGACGGAGAACAAGACGGTGCAGAATTGACGCTGAACAAGAAGCTGGATGCTTTCTCGTGGAGCGGAGCTTGACGGCGTACGAGTTCTCCGAGTTGAACACTTCGCTCACTTGGCGGTCGCACAACTGATGGTATAGATGGGTACGTTCCCATAACGAGCGACAGACTTGGTCGAACTGGAATGGGAATACGGTTTTACGTCGATACTGAAAATTCTTGACACGACCGTCAGTGAACTTTACGATCGATTTAACCACTCCTTCGCTCATCAATTCCACACCTTGAGCAGCTAATACGCTTCCAATACTCGAGAAATTTGAGTCCATTTCCCTCATCAACATGTTGTACAGCTCCATATCCTTTTGTTGTTCCAGCACACGCACGTCTTGCAGGCTAACATGGCAAACTGCTGGTACACTGCGCATGAACTTGCGTATCACTGAGATGAGTTCTTCGATGAGCATTTTCTGTGAGCTAACAGCAGCTAGTAAGCGCTTCTTGTCTTTTTCAGCTTCCAACCGCCTTTGTCGATTGCACAGTGTTAGGATCTCCCATGGAGAGGTAGCAACGACACCACTGTCGGCGTTGTTGTTCTTCTTGGCTTGAGATAGTCTGGTCAAGTGATCTGTAAGCTGTATCACCTCTTTCCGAAGAGAGTCACGCTCATTCTTGGCTCGCCGACGATACATTTGCGCCTTTTTCTCTCCTTCTCTATCATAGTCTCTGGCTCTTCTTCTGTCTTTCGCTTTCCTGTAGCATTCGACATTTGAGAGAGCATCCTGGGACCGGGAGAAGCCTCGCTGCTCGCATCGGAATCAGTCGCGGACGTGCATACGTCAGAATGTAGTGAGTTGACAGAACTCAGCTGCAAGGCTGCATCGTCGAGTAAATCAACCCCCTCCTCGATGTCAGCTTGCAAGAACGTCTCCAGCTCAGCGAGGAACGAAGCTGTGTCTGTTCCTGGAATCATCACTTGCCTCTTCCGCCGCAAATCGCAGATAGGATCTGTTGCTTACAAAAGCCGCTCCCGCTGCCTTGTGTAGTACTTGAAGTAGTACTGGTGAAGCCACCAGAGTTTTCAGTGAGCTGCCCTCTACCACTGTCCTCCTCAATGAGCATGTGGAAATGAGTCACGTCGTTGACAATGAACAACGGGGGTGTGTCACTGTGATTTATACTGACAACAAATGGCTGGTCCCGATTACGATGGTCCAAAGTACGTAAACTTATAGGTAGCGTCAGCGAGAATCACACTGCATTCGAAAAACCGCACAGAAGCACTCAGAAGCTCAAAACAATGACGTCTGAACCCGAGCTCGACACAGCATTTCTCGAGGACGTGGCGCTGTTCGACTGCAATGTGTCCACCCTGATGACTTCGCAGAAGGAAACCAAAGCATCCAGGAGCTCAAAATCGTCGAGTGCGACAACAAGGTTGGTCGAACTCGACAATGAGATACGACGATCAAGAGAAACAGGCCGACTGCGTTTATATAGACGTCGGGTCAGGAACGAGCGAGACAGTTTACAACGACAGGAAAAGATGTTGACGGAAAAGTTGCTTCAATTGCAGCAAACTCGATCGGACCAACGCAGCTTCAGCCCTACGGATATCGGCATCTCGAGCTCTCTGTGGAGAGCAATAGCAGCTCAGCAGCTTCAAGAACGTCTGGAAGCAGAGGCAGAGCAGAAGCTGCTTAAAGCAAGTATCAAAGCCCAAGATGCTTGCATCGAAGTATTTCAGGAAATGCTCCGCAGCAAACAAGAAAATAGAAACGAGAAGGACAAGCTGGAGTCACTCAATTGATGCATAGACAACTATCTACAGGAATACATGTTCAATATCCTAAGGTGTTGTGCACTCAATTATTGAAATCAATATATTGCTGTATTTGCGACCCCAATACAATGTCAGTATTGTATTTCAATATTTTATTAATAATTGTATTGTGAATTCCGTCCAAAAATTTGGCGTTTGAGGAGCGGGAGGACAATCGCTCACATACAAACCTAAGTCATTAGTAGAGCCCACCAAGCCACATGTCATGATCTTATTTCGTACTTAAACGGGTCAGTATACGGAGTTGTATACGCTGGGCGATTTGGGGCAGATTCATTCACGGAACCGCCCATGACAATTTTGAATAGAACTCACAATAGTTGCTATTACTATGTTGGTATCAGTGCTTAAGTACGTTTCTCAGTAAAGTACGATTTACATTCCGTTTAATTTAACCAAAGATACTATTTTGACCAATTCAATATACATATTGGTACAATACTAATTGTGGGGCCAGAGCAGATCTCAATCAATTTTTCGATACTATTATCCCAACGCTGCTTGTCTTCCTTTCGCCTGCTGCTGCTCGACTGTACATGCCCGCGGATGATGAAAACTAGTGATAGCGGTGTGTTGTGGAACATACGTCATTGGTTCGAATAACTGGTTCGCTTGTTGAACAAGCACACTGGGTGCTGCAACAAATACTTAAAGAGGTAGCAATATACTTCGAAGTATACTCCAACTGTCTTGCTAGTTTGCAGTATATGTTGCAATACTTGAACATTTTGCATTACTCTTATAATAATTCAAGTTAGCAAAAAATGTGATACGATATTACTTTGTGCTGTTTAACATTGATTATCTCACACGATCAGGAGAAAAACCAGCACTTTTCGGTGGTCAACCATTATTTGCAACTCTCATTTCCATAAATGTGGTTGAGCAGGATTGTGTACACAAAGATGACAATATTCTAAGCATAGTGGTAGGGCATTGGGAGGAACGCAGTATTCAAGTAATGGTCGGAAAGAAAAACACGGTTTTTCGTACTTAGGAGTGGTAACTTCGTATTGAAGCGCGTACCGTAAGCCACGGCTGAATAAGACAATCGTAAAAGGTTTCGTTGTTAACCCTATCGCTTAGCTATAGTATACAAATCTAGGACACTCGGTATGAAAAGGAGGCATATTCAAATCTTCCAAGTATGGTGTGCTTGGTTTTTCTATGCCCATAACGACCTGTCGTAAACGTATTTAATTATAAAAGGATGCATTTTGCCCCCGTTAGCATGGATACATCGTCGTACTTAGCTGAAAACAGTTTCTTTTATCGCGAAAGGGCTAATAAGATTCACAATCCCAAAAAAAAAAATACACCGTAAAAAGTATGATCAATGCACGCTACTATACTAGGTACTTCCCGCCACAATGCCATCGCGCCCATTTCAGTTCTGCGCGCTAAGATGCCGCAAAAAACTAAAAACAGGAATTGCAAGAAGCTTCAATTACGCAAACTAAAATATCTATTACTTGTATGATATATTTTTTAATAGTTTTTGGCCAAGCAGAATATGTTAATGCAACAGCAAAGTGTCTTTCTGTTCATCGTCCGACACTGAACGGGTAACGTACAAGCTTAGAATAAGCTTCTTAGAAGTCACCAAACAAGTGCTATGTGAACCCATCGGTTCGTGTCGGACTTAGCATCCGTCATCCGGTTCTCGATAAGAGGGATGCATCATATTGTTTGTTTTTTCCCTTAATTTTATGCATTTACAAAATACCTGCTCGTACATTTAGGCTTTTTGGACTAGATTGTCGACATGTAAAATAATAGGTCGCTGTGTGTGTCAACAAAGTGCTTGCTGTCCATTCTGGCTAAGTACACCCAAGCTCTCCCAGGACAGAACGCGTGCGACATACCTCATGTATATCCGTCGGTGTTACCCGCCATTCGACGTGCTGTCGTCGACAAGTACGTGTGAAACACACGAGTAGTTTCTTAACAGCTATTCGGGAGTTAGATAACTCCCCAGCGACTCCCTAGGTAGTCGTCTGCATTCAGCTATTCATCTTTTAATTCACTTCTATGTGGTGGAGTGGGGGTCGCAAAATCACGTTGCGATCTACTCTGACTCATAGTGCCCTGGCCTGCCGACTAACGGAGGGGAGGGGGGGGGGGGTACTCCGATAACCGTGGGGTGGGCTCACTTCTGTACCCGTCGGCGGGGCTGGTTACTTTCCTCTGGTGGACTTGATCGGAAGCTTGGCCTGGTCTCGTTTCGTCTTGGCGGGACGCAGGATGGTGGGGTTGCGTAGCGTGGATACTCTTCAGGCTACGCGCCAGGTAGGTCGTCGATCTTGATCGACTTGGGGTGT